TTTGGTTGATCTCCTCTTCGGTGGCTATGAACCTGTCCGCAAGATTCAGAAACTCGGTTATGGTCGYTGGTTGGTTGACGACCATGTGCCATTTGAACTCTTTGTGAGTCACACCCTTCTTGGCTGCTGCAAGGCGTACAGCGGGGTCCAGGCGCGGTATCTGCATACAAGCATCGTTGAACCGTTTGATATAGCCCCGGATGGACTCTCCCTCTCTTTGCACTATGCTGAGGAGGCTTTCCTCAATTCGCAAGCACCGTTTGCTGGTGACGAAGTGGGACGTGAAGGCTTGTGCAAACTGCACCCAACTTCTTATCGACCCAGGTGCCAAGTTCCGGTACCACGTGTGGGCTGCTCCCCTAAAAGTAGTAGAGAAGGCCACGCACATGCACGACTCACTGCCTCTCGCCAGGTGCATCTGTGACTGAAAGGCATCTACGTGATCATTTGGGTCAAACGACCCGTCATACTTGTCAAGAGGGGGGAGCTTGAAGTCTTTGGGCATTGGGACTGCCAGAAGTTTGGAAGACAGGGGGGATGGAACCGAGAGGAGGGGAGCTTTGACTTCGGCCGAGCTTACCTCTTCTTTGCCCATGAGCTCGGGCAAATCGCGGGTGACAGATCGACGAGCTCGGCGGCGGCGTCTCTGCTTCTTGGTGGGTTCGGCGTTCGTGCTGCTCACCTCTGCGCTGTCCGGGATGGTTTGTGCAGTAAGTAGACCGGTCTGCTGGTGATGGCTGCGGACAGAGGGATCCTGCTTGGAGTCTGTTGCCAGGACCTCGAACCGATTCTCAAGGAGTGGGGTTTCAAACTTCGACTGCCGAGGTGATGTAGACTTGGCGAGCTGGGGTCTTCTCGACCTGTCCACCCGCGGTGAGATCGGGGTAGCCGGTCTCTCTCGTCTGTTGCGGGGGGAGGCCTGGTTTTTTGGGAGGTTTTGGGGGGGCTCTCCTTGGCCAGAGGGGCGCTCGTCCTGGCGGCGAGACTTAGCTTGTTGCGAGGCGGGAGCTGCGGCTGCTGAAGTTGAGGTTGAGGCAGCTGGGGGAACTGCTGTTGATACTGATACTAGGAGACCTGGTGTAGTACGTGTTGTTGATAGAGTTGAAGCTGCTGGAACTGTTGCATTTGGGCCTGCATGGCCCGCATGCACTGCATCAAGTCCTCCAGTTGGTTTGGGCTGGCCGCTGGGGGCACGACTGAAGGTTCGATGAACATCGCTCTGACTGTAGCAGGGAGTGGGGCGATGACAGGTGCCACTTTGAGAGGCACATTCAAGCTGGGGATTCCGTTTGCTGAGAGGGGGACGGTGAACTATTCGATATAGACAGTAGGAAGCTGGGGTTGTTCCCTGGAGTTATCCATTTCCGTGCTTTGTCCGACGTTGCTAGAGGAAGCCATGAGCGTTGGATCGTTTCAAGGAAGAAAAGAACTGAGAAAGTTTAGAGAGAAAGGCCTTTTGATGTGTTTCCCACAGACGACGCCAAATGATGTAGCGCGATCCGGTCACTCCTAGCTGGCACTCGCGTGGCTCCTGAGAGGTACCTAAGACGAGAGGAAAGAGGAAGAACTCCTGGGGGGTTTCCCGGCAGGAACGCTCCGATGTTTAAGTCAGTATTGTGTGCAAGAAGCAAAAGGAAAATGAAGGCTAAGAGTGCAGGTTGCGCAGGTGATTCGAAGATACGTTGTTCCTTGAGAATAAGCCCCTTATAACTGAATTTCGTTGCTTCAGGCCCTCTGACTTCTGACAGGGCAGGTATAACCGCCACTGTCAGTCTGCCACAGCCGTTACAGGCAAGGCTGAGGTGGCACGCGCAGGGCCGTTGTTGCAGGGTACATGCCTGTCAGGTGTGGGACACCTTTCTAAAGGTGGCAGACATGGCGCTATCTGACGAGGGACATGTCTGTTGTCCACAGATTTGTCGGGTACGACGGTCGAGTAGGAAGCCCTCATGTGGTATACCGAACTACCCTCCTACGAATTACCCTGAGCCAGGCTGTCCTTTGAGTGACGGGCTGCCTGTAGCTAGTTATGCCGAGCTAGCTGGCTCGAGGTGTCTATGCCTCGAGGTGTCCAGAGATGGATCGGTGTGTTCTTGCCTGGGAGTGGCCCGAGGTCCATTGGGAGGAGCTTGGGCCTTAAGAGAGGTTCGGGGCGCCCTGAAGTGCCTTAACCCCGGGGAAGAGGTGTAAGTAAGGCGGCTTTCGGTGAGTAGTTTACCTACCGAGTTGCCGAGCTGAAATCGGTGGGACTTTCCCTCCGAGTTGTGCTCACGCTCGTTGCGCTGTCATGCTGAGTCACTGTTTGAGCAAGTTCACGCCCACGTGTACTTGTGCTGCGAGGTCGGGCCAAATCACCCTCCATCAATTGGAATTCATGTTTGTACCATTACAGCTAAAAGTCTGTTTGGTAAGAAGAAAACTAACCCAACTTTGCAATTTATATGAACCGTTTTACACTCTACATCAAGGTTCTAAATATCGATACGCCTAACATGCCATATAGGCATATTAGGCAGTATCGGAAAAGTTTTCTTTGTTTTTTTTTTTTTACTTTTTTTCAAATCCAATTCGGGGGGGCGGTTTAAGGTTCCTCCGCCCCCTGAACACATCAAAACTCCGATACACCCTCTGTAGGGACGTATCGGAGTGCTCCCAATACAATACAGATACAGGCCAATATGTAACGATTTTTTGAACCTTGCTCTACATATTTGCATTATTTCCAAACGCAGCCTTACACCAAAACGAAGACTGTTTGTAAGAAGCCAAGTCTGAATGTGAGATTACTTAAGTCATGCGAGGTTTAAGCTGATTGAATTCAACACACAACTATGTATCCTCATTCCTCGTAGGATTAAGCACCGAGTGGCTATCAGATGCTCCAGTAGATGAATTTGATCTTCATATATGATACTTGCACATCAGCAGCAAACATCAATACAAACTATCAAATTAAGATCCTCTGTGCAATGCTCAGCAAGTATCCACATTAGCTAAAGAGGTATTTGATAGTGAGGGCATGAATTTCTAATATCACATCCCTTCAGAATGAAACAACATAAAATAAAACCAAATGCAGATGCAGTCCTTGAGGCCAATATTGGAAACTTGCATGTGGATCTGATGCTTAGACCTGGTTAAGGTATGCAAATTTTTATCTGGTTGTTTAAAACACATGCATGAGAATGAGGTTCTGAAAGCGGCCGCTTTGTGTGAAAAAAAAAAAATGAACAAGGTTAGGGTTTTATCCACTTCACCCCTCCCAAGGCCCCCAGATAGCCGGGACAAGGACATATTGGGCAATGTCCAAATCAAATTAGATATGCAGAGAAAGGGAGATGATGCATGATATGCAGAAATATTTGTTAAACTACAAAATGCCTAAAAATAACCAAATGCAATTTGCAATAGTCTAAACATTTAATTTTAAATCAATGGGAAAATACAGTGATGCTTATTCAGTGGGAAAGTGAGTCCAGGAAGCACCAAAAAACACCACCTGACCGTACTCATACTGACTGATAAAATCCTCAGCATATCAAGTAATATTGGGGGGCATCCCCAGACACATAACACCTCCAACCCTTGTGCAGGCGGGATACGATCCCGCCTGATATGCCTCTCTATAGGGGCATATCAGAAAGCTCCCGATACGATACGATATCGGTATTTTGAACCTTGAGTACAATTACTGGTGTCATCTTAGGAGTACAAAGAGAAATGAGAACCGAAACTTCCGGGTTCAGTGATGTCATCTAGTTGTAATCATTGATTCTATAAAGACTTTGTTCCGTGCTTCTTTGCATAAAATGACTCAGATTTTGATTGAAATTTGGACAACTGTTTAAAGTACCATTAAGACCTATAATTTTCACACAACCTTGACTTGGCTTTAGCAAGAACAGGCCTGGTCGCATAACTTATAACCAACCTTTTATCATGTAACAGTATATACATCTATGATTATACTACAGAACCTTGAATTAAGCACTCCTCTACTCAAATATAGCTTTTATAGACAACCAAATTACATTACCTAGAGAAACAGATCCTTCAGTTACTAAAAGATCATCAGGCCCCTAATGAATCTTATAAATACATCATCCAACAGTGGACAACGAATACCTATATTCAAGAGTTAAATCACAACATTCTACAAATGCAGAGTTCATAATGTCTCAATTTATAATAATTTATAATCAAAGACTGGTACAGTGACCACCTCAGAATATCCCTCACAAAGAGACATAGTTCTCAATTGATGATGTGTCTGTCTGGTCGAATTAAAGTTAACTCTTTCTTCCCTCTTCGGTTCCAGTATGCATCCACATATTTCTCTACAATATCCTCAACTTTAACTTTTTCTCCACCATACTTCGTAGCACAATACCTTGACCCTGATGACTTAGCATGCTTTACCTAGGTTTGAAACATTGAATATTCTGTCTCAAAAGCGTAGTTTTCAATAGCCGACTTACTTTCAAATGCAGCGCCATTCAATATTCAATAGCTAAATTGGTCAGCTTGGAAGGAGCAGAATCAAAGGGTTTTTGAGTCAAAATCTGAGCCAGTGGAAGCTACTAGGCAAGGTGGAAAGAGTTTTGAAGAGCTGGGCTGGCAGCCTGAGGCTTTTTGTAGGAGTGCCTGCTATTTCCTTTAATGATCATTGACCTTCCATCATTTTTAAGCTGTTCTGTATAGGATCTGAATGTATGCAATCTGTGCATACTTACAGGCACACTTTTTGTAAATGTTTTCAGGGCTACTATCCCTCATTTAGTCGTTTCATAATATTAATACAATCCATACTATTTATAAAAAAGAATCCAGTACCATTCATTATTTCACCATTGTAAGACCGCCATATTAGCATATTTCAATAAAAGATTAAACATCTACTCGAGCCAACTGCGTTCTTAACATTTGACATTTCGTTGCTTCTTGCTCTTGTGGTGATTTTCCCTGTCAAAAGGAAGTCAATGGCTCCACAAAACGAAAAGTTAAAAAGAAAATGCTGCATTTAGTTTTCACTCAACCACATTGTCTCAATTCTACATGACTTCGTAAACCCATAAAAAGATAAGCCAACAAACTGTAAATTATATGAATACCCTCAAATTAGACAAGGATGGACATACAAGCCTATGCATTATGAACACAGATAAACTCTGCGGACGCGCCAAGAACAACAACAAGATGTCCCAGATCTCCCAATTAATCACCATTAGTTAAATTGACAATACAAACAGAAAAAGGGGGAAAACACCCATCACCGCAAAGCAAATAAATTCTAAAACCCAAAACGAAAAAAAAAAAAAAAAAAGAAAGAGTAGAACATACCAACTACAGGGAGCAATTAATTAGGGTGAACTGGTGAGTATTGATTGTATATTAAAATCTCACTTGGCAACCATCCTGACGATGAAATCTTCATAGCGAATCCGACCGTCAGATCCAACATCGACTTCACGGATCCACTCATCGAATTCAGCGGGGTCAAGCTTCTCCCCGATGCTAGTGAGTACATGGCGGAGTTCGGAAACGGCAACATAACCGGTGGAGTCCTTGTCAAGGACCTTGAATGCATCGCGGAGTTGGCGATCGAAGGGCTCGGGCTTCATGTGTTTGCTCATGAGTTCGAGGAATCGAGGGAAGTCGAAAGGAGAGGTAAGATTCTCCTGAGCTATGATGTCCTTGAGCTGCGCTTGTGTAGGGTTTCCTCCCAGAGATCGCATCAGGATCCCTAGTTCCGATGCTGCGATCCGACCATCTCCATCGGTGTCAAACAGAATAAATGCTTCCTTCATGGAGGCCACTTGATCGTCGCTGAGATCCTTTCTCATCGTTTCTCCTCTGCCTCTCTGTATGTCAAAAATCCTCTGTGAGTAATGAAAATGGTGACGAGCGTGTGGCGCTCCTTTTTGTAGCTGCGCCTTGTTTCCTGCCAGTGCCTGTTAATAATGACGCAAGCAAGCGGGAACTTTCCAAATTCCCGGGTTTGGATCTCATCGTCATCGAGTCATCGGTGCTTGGCGCATTTGTTTTTCACTTTTTCTTTTCTGCTATTTTTGAAATTTGAATTGTTAAGAGTTTGAGGTGGCAACACGAAGGCGATCACCGATTGACTTGTCCGTCCGGCATCATAGTCGTTAGTCGATCCCGTTGGTTTAAGCCTAGTCGGGTATTCGGGTTGGTGGGTATCTCTGGCATTAATTTGGACGGAGAAACGATGCATCCATCATTGATCATCCATTCCGTTAACTTGGCCAAATAAAAATATCAACCGAAAGGACCAATTACGGTGGTCGGTGGCTCCTGTCCTCCTGAATCCTGACCGGCTTAACCAAGCCTTTAATAATTTTGAGTTGGAACACCTATAGGAATTTGGGTTGGACCTGGGCCTGGGAGTAACTTAAACCATTTAATAGTTGCACAACCTAGTTTTTGTTCAAACTAAACTCTGCCACCAAACAAGGAGCAGTCGTCAATTTCATCAAAATCCAAATAATCCAAGTGAGATGAGAGGCACTTGCAATATCATATGAGGTGCATCATAATTCATGGGAGGCAAGTAACAAACAAAGTATGGAGATATATTAGTAGAATAAATTCCTTTTCGTGGTAAGCTTTGGTTCTTGAGTTTGAATCATCAGTATGAGAAGAACAAAATTCTGCTATATTGTGCCTTGGTATCCCCTGATCTAATGGAGGTTTTGCTATCTTTATCATAGAACCGATGCAGCATGTATTGGGATTTAGGACCATCCCCCAACTTAAGTGAGAATGCCTAGAAATCGTTGTTCCTTCTTGCTCTTCAGGCTTTCCTAATGTCCTCCATAATATTAGTATAATAAAAGTTGTGTGGCTATTTCTAGATTTATGTAATTGTTATGGTTCATTTACTTCTTAGCTTTTCTTTTAAGGGGGTAAGTCCATAACAACTTAAGCAGCTGAATTAAAAGCTTTATTGAATTTAATGACTTGTTGCTTTATCTTTTAGTGAATAAGATATTATGGAGATTGTGACTTGTGACCTTTCATGGCTGAACTTAAGTTGGGTTAATTACCATACACTCAAATACTTTTATAATTTAATTAATTTACCCACTGAAAACCAAAGGAAAAGGTCATTCAGTTCACCCTCTTCAGCCGTTATTAAATAGCCCTAAAGTCTCTTACTTTTATTTTGGGTATAAGGGGAATGTATTTTGTCTAAACCAGGCTTATTACTTTATCTCCATTTAAGTATTCATACTTGACGTATTTTGTTGTAAATAATTAGTCCCATTGGTTGGTTAGAAAATTTTCAAATATAACTAGGTTTATGCTATGACCACCATTTGATTACCCAAATTTTCAAATATTTGGCCTGTGATCAAATTTTCAAATATAACTAGGTTTATGTTATGACCACCATTTGGTTACCCCCCCCCCCAAAAAAAAAAAAAAGATCACCATTTCAATGTACTATGAAATGATTAAAGAAAAGAAAAGAAAAAAAAACCCTCTCCTTCCCTTGAAACAAAACCATGGTGCCCAACACCCCATTAGTTGTGTAATTGTGCTCAGTCCTTTTTTTAAGAAAGTGCATAGTTTCCAAGGTTATCCAGACTTCACTGAACCAACGTATTGTATCTTTGGCATTATGGGATATTTGATGAAATACATTGAAATTATAAAATAACACACTTGCACATAAACAGTTGTAGCAATATCATGTTTTCCCTTTGGGGTCTCCTCTCTTTTGGGTTTTTAAAAGCAAAGATGTTAATGGTGTTTCAGTATGATAGAAGATTGTTTTATGATAAAAAAAGAACCCCAAAACAAGAACCGTGTAAATTGAAACATTTTCAAGTTGAACTGATAGTTTCAGTACATGCAATGAATGCGTCTTTTCTTAGGGGTTTCAAGGTGGATTGAAGGATTATTAGATAGCAAATAGATGCATGCAGCCATGCAATACATGTCTATCTCTCTCACACACACAATTCGATAATGGGGCCTCTACCACGTGTTTTTTGTAAGAAAAGGATGTAAATTATTCAATGTCTATTTGTTCACACGACAGGAGAGCATGGCAATGCATGATACTTTGTGAAGAGTGAAGACAGTCTGAAGACTCTGAACTGGCCAAATACCTCGTTAGGGCCCATATAGTGGAAGGTCTCTCTTATCAACAGGAAAAGAAAAGAAGGTCGCTTTGGCCAACCAGGATAACCTTTTTCAACAATCAAACAACACTAACAAAAAGTACTGAACTTCTCTCTTTTTTCTTTTATTTAAGAGCCCTTAGTCACCTTTTTACTTCTTGAATATTTTGATTATTTTCAAATAAACAAGTTGTATTACTATCATATAATGGTTTGGTTCTGCCGTATGGATCATCTACAAGCGGTAGGGATGTAACATGAATAACACATTTTGGTGATCACTGCAGTGTTTTTGGTTTCACTGGTTAACTTTTCTTGGTAATAAAAAAGATTGTTTCTGGTTACTTCATTGAAAAAAAAAATAGTTATGTGCCAGTGGCAGTCCAGCATTTCTGTATTAATCTAGTTCTGTAAATAGTTGGCTCTGGCATGCCTCAGGGTAGACCTAATCCCAAACAGATAAATATTCAGAATCAGGATCAAAACATATAGCATCATGGCATTCTGTTGTTCATCCTGTGAATATACCATGACAATACAAGATATCTATCTGTAATATTCTAAAGTCTATCTACAACAACACCAAGCTTTGTTTGGCTCCCGCTCCCTCCTCAAACCAAAACAACACTAGAAAATTTCAATAGCTCTATTTCCAAGCCCAGAAAAAAGAACATGTACTTAAACCCTGTAAACTATGTTGTTAGGGTATCTACTGGTATGGCATTTCTTTGTTGCTTCTAGGCTCTAGCTCATGTGGTGTTTTTCCCTCTAAATTTGCACTAATGGAAGCCGATGACTCCACAAAACGAAAAAAGGAAAAAAAGAAGAAGAAAATGCTGCCTTTAGTTTTCATTCAATCACATTGTCTCAATTTCTTCAGAATACCCACAAATTCAACAATGATGCACATACATGCCCACATATTATGCACACAGGTAAACTCTAGGAATGCATCAAGAACAACAACAAGATGTCCAAGATCTCCCAATTAATCAGCATTAGGCATTAGTCCAATTGAGATTACAAACAGAAAAGGGGGGAAAGCACCCATCATCAAAAAGAAAACAAATTTTAAAAGCCCAAACAACAAAAAGAAATGAGCATACCGACTACAAGGAGCAATTAAACAGGGTGAACTGGTGAGCATTTGATCATATAATAAAATCTCACTTGGCGACCATCCGGACAATGAAATCTTCATAACGAATCCGACCGTCGGATCCAACATCGACCTCGCGGATCCACTCATCGAATTCAGAGGGGTCGAGCTTCTCCCCGATGCTGGTGAGGATATGGCGGAGTTCGGAAACGGCCACGTAACCGGTGGAGTCCTTGTCAAGGACCTTGAATGCATCACGGAGTTGGCGATCGAAGGGCTCGGGCTTCATGTGTTTGCTCATGAGTTCCAGGAACCGAGGGAAGTCGAAAGGGGAGGTAAGCTTCTCCTGAGCGATGATCTCTTTGAGCTGCGCTTGTGTAGGGTTTCCTCCTAGAGATCGCATCAGAATCCCTAATTCCGACGCTGCGATCCGACCATCTCCATCGGTGTCAAACAGCGTGAATGCTTCCTTCATGGAGGCCACTTGATCGTCGCCGAGATCCTTTCCCATCGTTACTCCTCTCCCTTTCTCCCTTTCTGTTTGTCAAAAATCCTGCGTGAGGAATGAAAATGGTGACGCAGCGTGTGGCGCTCCGTTTTGTCGCTGAGCCTCGTTTCCTCCCTTTTAATGACGCAAGCGAGCGGGAACTTTCCGATTTCCTGGGTTTGGATCTCATCATCAGCGGCGCGTAGCGCATCTATTTTTTTCTTGTTGCTATTTTTTGAATTGTTAAGGCAATTTTAGGGCTGTAAATGCATCATTAGAAAATTCGATATGCAACGGATATTGAAAATTAATATTCTAATTCAAATTCGATTAAATATTCGAATATTTTATTCTATTCGAATTTGATTAATTAATTATTTTAGGTAATTAATAAATATATAAAATAAATATTTTATTTATATAAAGTATATAAGTATATAAATTATTTATATAATTTAATTATTATATATAAATTAAAACATTTAAATATTTTATACATTATATATAAGAATTAAATAATTGGTTGAATTCGGATATTTATTGAATCGAATCAAGTTATATCTGAATTCGATTCAATTATGTCGAATTTCAAATTCAAAATCGGATTTTCGAATACCGTTGGCACCCTAGTGGCAAGGCGAAAGCAATCATTGAACCCATATTCACATTTGTTAAATTTGTCTAAACCTAGTCGGGTACTCGGGTTGGTGGTATCTCTCGCATTGGTTTGGATAGGAGTACAATTCGGATTGGCTCGAATTGCATTAATTTGAACTTGGGCCATTCAAATTTTGACAAAATCCCAATTCTAAAGAGTCTGATCTACTCCTTATTCCTCATAGAGCGCTCCTCACATCAACCTGACAACATGTTCGAGTTGTACATCAGAAACATCTCCTATTCTTGTAAGTAATTATTTATGAGAGATGTGGTTGTGAGGAGTGTTCTCAAAGGAGCATATGCATATCCAAATTCCAATCCTAAGTCATGTCTGATTCAACTCTCATTTTTGTTCATTATATTCAATAATAAAATTCTAGAATGGATAATATGAGAAAATGTTATTACAAACTAAACTCTTTTTTTTCAAAAGAAAAGAAGAACTCTTTTCAATGCAAGGAATAAATTTGAACCCTTTGGTTACAAATTTCAATTTTATTTTTGGGAAAATTCCTTATCAGTACCCTGAAATTTAGGGGTTGTTTCAAGTTAGTCCCCAAACTTTAAAATGCGTTTTTGCAGTACCCCTAACTTTCAAAATGTGTCTAATAGGTCCCTTCTGTTAATAGTTCATCAATTAATTTTAGAAAAATCAAAAATACCCTTCGATAGAAGACACTATTCATTATCTTCTACCTTGAGACTGAAGACATTGTTCATTATCTCCCACTTCTGCGCTTTAAACTAACTCAACTCCTTTGTTCCGAGAGATACCAAGCCCACGGGGACTTCAATTTTCGATTACGATTTAGAAAAACACAATGCAAGAAGACGAATAACAGAACTAAGGAATCTAAATGTTCTGAAATCTACCAAGATGAAATTTTCATAGTTTTAATCATTTAGAACTTTAAACAGGTCCAAGAATCCAAAGATCGATACTAGAGAAAGATCCAAGAAATAAAAAAGATTATGTCTCCAAGGCTGATCTCTGAAGACTAAGGAACTTCTCAATCTGCTTCTTTTAAGCATACTCCATTGCAGATAATCCATATTATTGGAAAGTTGATGAAAAATATGGTCAGTCTACTCCATGTACCACTATTTATGTGAGCATGGAGCTCCGGTTGTGGCTTTTATCTTCAGTTGCCTGGTTCCATCATCCATTCTCTTTTCAGCATTGCAAAGGCCTTGAAAGGAAAGACCACTGAGCAATACATTGGTGGTGCCTTCTATAATCAATGGTGGAAAAACAGCATTATACTTTGTAATGTGGGGGAAGGGCCTTAAGTCATGTGGAGAGCCATAATGGCTGAGTATGCTGGTGTTATTCTTGGAGTTTTATCTATAGTAGTCTATGGATGGAAGGTCAACATTTGGAAAAAGGTCGGTGGACTCATTGTAATGATGGCATCATTCTACTTCTTATCTCAAGGGCAGTTTCAGTACTTTTACATTTCCACTATTTATATATAGAGGAAACGTTATCGAATTCAATCCTCACAAGAGTGTGCCCACACTATTCTCATAGCCTCTTATAGTCCTGCTTTGAGAATATTTTCATACTTGTATGCTTTTTTTCAAGGCTACAAGGACTATGTGAATAGTGTGAACTAGGGGAGCTCATAAAAAACCGAAAATCAAAAATCAAATCAAACTGAGAAAACCGAATTGAAAATTGTGATCAGCTGAACCAATTGTTTCAATTTTGGTTTGGTATTTTTGAAAAACCAAAGGACCAGTTTGGTTTTTAGTGAACTTAGAAAAAAACCGATGGTTAACTGAATCGATTGATATATGTATTTATATGTATATTTTTAATATATCTCACATATTAATTATATAGTATATATAAATATATATGCATTATATTTATATATAATACATATATATATATTTACATTTATTTATAATATATGTTATGAGCATAATAACCGAAACCAATCAACTGATTAATCGGTGGTATCGGTTCGGAGATACGCAAAAACCAGTAGGACCGGTTTGGTTTCAACAAATCCCACCCCCAGTGTGAACACGGTCTTGTGAGGACCAAATTCGATTTTAGTTGAAACACGCATGCAAGACCCTCACCAACAAAAACCACAAATCAACATGTAGATTGTGGACCCCACATCAATAATGCAAAATATGAAAAACAAAATTGACAAAAAGTAAAAAAAAAAAAAAGATTATGCATTTGATAGCGTAAAGAAAAGAGAATTTAAGGTTGTGTTTGGTTTGAAGGAAAAAGGTAAGGAAAGGAATGGAAAGAAAGAGAAACCTATACAAACCTTGCACAGGTTTCCATACTTTTTCCCTTCCTTTCCCTAGCTTTTCCTTCAAACCAAACACAACCTAAAGGAAGCAATTAGCACCTATTTAAAATTAATTGCTGAATTGAGTAGGCAATTTTGCAAATTAAAAAAAAAAGTATGGGACTTCTAAATGCAAATAGAATTTAAAAATTGTAAAATTAAAAATGAAATAATAACATGAAGAAGTACAAAATGCTTAACAATTTTGTCAAATTGGTAAATTCAATAAACATAATATATTAATAAAATCATAAAATATAATAAAACATCGTAAAAAGGTGCCCTATGTTACTCATTTTCATTCTTTAAAGAAGCTTTATGCCAATGATTTATGACCACTAGGCTAGGTCTCCAAAACCAACAGATGAAAAGTGGTCAATGTCCCTCAACATAAGTTTTCATGGTTGTCTGCTAGTAAACATCTATTCTAGAGGTTTTGTAAACCGAAAATGGCAGTCATAAACCACCAACACAAAGCTTCTTTGAAAAATAAAAATGAACATGAGGCATGGTTATTTTTTATGCTACAAACTACCTAAAATTTTGTGCAATGGGATGATTTTTCATTCTGAAAAGAATGAGACCTATAGAAAGAATTTTATAACCAAACTCTCTAAAGTTATTCATTCTTACCCATATTTGCCTAGATTGAGAAAGAATTGAAAGAATAAGGCTCAGAGCAAGAAACCAAACAAGGCCTAACCTGCCCAAACTACACCCATAGATGGACGAAGCAACAATTCATCATCCATTTGGGCCAAATAATAGGACCAAATTAATGGTGGCTCCTAAGCCCTGATTCATTTGTGAAAAAAAACAAAACAATTGACCCTTTTTCCAGGCCCCTTAGCCAAGCCTTTAATGAGGTAGATTTTGGGTGGAGATTGATCGGTAGATGGGCTTGACAACTTTTCTACATAATATAGAGTTTATTCAAACCAAGCTCTGCTACCAAACAAGGATCAGTCATCAATTTCATAAAAATGAAATGAGATGATTGGAATTTGCTATATCACATGTAGGGGTGCTCTGCTTGGTTTTGGTTAACCTAAAAAATCGATAGTTAACTAAACAAAACGGTATATATATTTATATATATTATATATACTCGTAGGGGTAAATTTCTTAAAGTATCCCTGTGGTTTAGGAAAATGACTAACTCTATCCTACTGTTTACATATTGTCTTAAAATACCCTCATGTTTTTTGACAATTGTGATTGTCATTAAATATAGATAGAGAAAAGTAAAATGTCAAATTTATCCTCCATTTTTTTCTCAAATTTTCAAAATAAAACCCAACTAATGAGAAAGTGATTGGTGCTAAACACTTTTATACAAAACACCTGCGTACTTCAGCTCTCTATAAAAAAAATCTTTTGGGGTCTTAATGATATCTGGTGCAAGAGACACCATTTGGTTCATAGTCAAAATCGGAATCAGAATCGAAATCCTTTGGAGTTGAAATCAGAATGGCTTATTCCCATAGTCTGTTTGGTTCATACAGGAATGGGAATGGGAATTAGAATCAACAGGAATGAGATTTCATTCCCAAGGGAGGGGTAGGGAATGGCCATTTCCTCAAATGGGGGAATGCCATTCCAGCAAGAATGGGAATGGGATTCTGATTCTTTCCAACCAAACAACTAGAATCGGAATAACCCATTTCGATTCCAACTCTAAACCCCTATTCCTGCGAACCAAATGGGGCCTAAATTTTTGAGCAATTTCAGCCTTTCGGAGAACAGCCAAATGAGAGCACCACAAAACTTGAGAGAAAAAAAAAACTCTAGCTATTACCACCCTTTCAATCGTATCGCATATTTGCTTACACAGATGGTTATGGCAAGATGACTTGTCTTTTTTGGGTTTTGGGTGTCAGTAGGAGCTGAAGGATTTGATGAATTCGAATGTTAGCCATTGGGATCATCAAACTAGCCATCGGGGTCATATAAGTAACCATTGGAGGTGGAGGATATGAGACAGTAGGTGAAGCTCACTCAAACGAGGACCTAAAGCTCCACCATTCGATGTTGTGAATCTTAGTACACCCTTGAGTTGAACTAGAAAAACCCACGAACATGAAACCCAACTGATGATAATTTACAAGACCATGTTTCATTGTCTCTTCGGTGGATTTAGAGACTAATTATTGAATGACATAGGAAACCCTTTTTTATGAACATGGAAAT